GCCCCCCAGTGTGTCTCCTACTGCTGTAGAGCTCTTCCATAGAGTCAGGCCCTGTCTCTTATAATATCTCAGCTGCCGCTGACGTTGCTACGTATATTATATTTACTCATGTTCAAGGGTAGACTGGCTTTTTCTAAATCATCCTTGTCCTCAACATTCAGAATATGTTTTATAATGCGTGTATTTATTTATCTGGTTTATTCGCACTGACGTTTATCATTCATTACTTTGAGGGCTTCTTGTGTATATTATGTGTTTCCTGTGATATTTGTCACAGGCCCTGGCAGAGGCCTTCTTGGATCACCTGTGGAAGATCCTGCAGAACCCGTCTCTGCCTGCTGTCCTTCGCCAGGCTGCTGCTGGATACCTGGGAAGTTTCCTGGCCCGAGCCAAGTTCATCCCGTTGAGGTGAGTTTACCCGACACCTGCTTAAGAGCACAAATGCAGCAGGTGCAGGTTTTTAATGGGTTCTTCTCTCATTCTGTGTCAATGGTGATTCCTGTAGCACTGTGCGGGCCTGCCTGGATTTACTGAGCTCCTGGATCCATCAGTACATCTACAGCCAGGACAGCTGTGGGAAACAAGTCTGCTGTGACGTCAGCTTGCACGGGCCCTTCTACACTTCCTGCCAGGCTGTCTTCTACACGATCATCTTCAGACACAGAGCATTGCTGGAGGCCAACATGAAGAAAGGTAGAATAGAAAACTTTGAGCTAATATCAGTTTCTTTGTTTTCATTTCAGGTAAAAAAAATAGCATGGGAGCAAAAATGACCTCAGGTTTAATTTACTAAGATCAGTTAGATGTAAGCACAGGTTTCAGGAATGGGTCTGAATCATTACCTGATGTAGAGTCACATTAAAGATTGTCTTATTATGTATTTTAATGGTTTTCAGCAAGGCAATTATTTGAGTTCACTCTGTAGAAAGTTCATTTCTGGGATGGGTGCTTTCTCTCTTCCTGCGTGCCACAACAGTGATCCTTTTTAATTTTCATGAAGTAGATGTGTGTCAGGTCTGTTGAGGCCACCAGATGAGGAACAAAGATTGTTTTTAAAGCACTGTGTTGACGCACTATGACACACAGCTTGGTTTAATAATAATAATAATAATAATAATGGATTGCATTTATATAGC